TATATATATATATATATATATATATATATATATATATATATATATATATATATATATATATATATATATATATATATATATATATATATATATATATATATATATATATATATGATCAAAAAATCATGTGTGATAAATGTATCAATCTAGGGATAATTAGTCTTGATTTTGGTGGACATTTTGATTCCGACGTGGCCGTGCCTGCCATGCCTATATAAAGCAGGTTAGACACACTGGTTTTGCACCCCATATAAATATGGTGGGCCCTATTTTTTATTGGAAATTTTTAGGGGTACTACGGTAATTTACTGTTATATAGTAAAAAAATATTTTTTCGGAAAAAAAAAAAACAAATAAAAAAATCCCTCGAATCGAAAAGCTGATTTCGTGAAAAAATGCACCTTAAGTAGGTCGGTGTAAGACGAAAGCAAACGTCTGAGGAATTTTAGTATTACGGATAGGTGGAGGTGTTTTTCATAACTTAACCTAAGTTTAGAGATTTTTTCGTAATTTAACCTCTAATATTTTGTCTTTTCCTCCAAACAAGGATAATTAAAGACTAAACTCGGACCAATTCATTTGTTTGTTGGTGATCATGAAATAACAACTATAAAATTAGATCGTATATATATATTAGTAGCAACACAAAATTGAATTTATTTGTAGTACTTGTGATGATAAAATCATTCAATACGATGAAAGAAGGCAATTAATTGTTTAATGGTTTTGGAAAGTGGTTTAGCAACTGGTATTGCTGTCTTAATTAGCAGAATTAACAAACAAAACAAACTAATTATGGTGAATGCAGCACAATAAAATTAATGTGTGATGACAAAAAAAGTTAACAAGAAAAGTTCACGAGTGAAGTACATATATACAACAAGTTCACGAGCATTATAATTGTCTACAGACGGCTTAACTAAAATCCTTGCACAAAACCTTTTTCTTCAAAATTAAAAAATCTCTTCCTTTTTTATATCATGTGGTTCAAATTATTATACCATCAGGCCTCCTTTGTCGTGTGTATTAACCATTATTAATTAAATAATTTGACTTTGTTTAATGTTTGGTATCTCTATAATTATATATAACTTATGGGGTCGACTCGCAAATATAATTGGATTTTTATTAATTTTTTTAATCTGATTTTAGTTAATCTTATCTTGACAACCAAACAAGGCCCACGCTAAATGAGATATTATGAGTGTCGGAGTAGGTTTTTTTGTTTCTTTGGTGAAAGTAAATGAAATATGTGTGATAACTTTTATGTCCTCAACTATTGGAGGACAAAATTTTGCCTAGTGAAAAATTGAAACACTTCAATTATAAATGTATGTGAACATTTTTTTTTTTTTTGAGAAATAAATTATTGTTAGTTGCATAGTTACAAATTCGTAGGTATTTTCGTACATTTTGCAGACATGTATATAAAAGGATTTAAGGAAGAAAAAACATCATATATATAACATGCATGTGAATTAACAAACAAACATACACCAAGAAATTAAAATAAACAAAAACTAATTTGCATATATGAAAGAAGATCGAGTTTATATTATTATCGAATTCGACTGAAATACTGTCACAAAATAAATTGAGTTAAATATATATATAATCTAAAAACTTGATTTTTATTTTATTTTCAATTTATAACAAATAAAAGCAAGTTGTTATATATAAGATGTTAGGGCATAGCTTTCAGATAATTCCTGCTGGTTAAGAAGACAAAAGTACAGAAACTGAAGTCCGTGAAGAATTTGATTGCATGTGAATATAACTTGTGGACTAGACCCACTCATGTGTCTTTCTTTGGCTTTATGCATCATCAAATAATTAACCATAATATATTAATATACCTAGTTGACATGTAATTTTGTATTTTTCTTAATATAGAAATATATGATGCGAATTAGTAGTAATTAATCCCATGATTAGAAGCCCTAGTTCTTTGGTTTATGTAGGTTACAATTAAGTGACACCATTAAGACACTCATTAAATATCAATTAATTAATTAATTAGGGCGTTTAAGAGTTAAAGACAACCATTAAATTTAAATGTCAATTATTTATTTGCATGGACAAGTGAACCAGTTACCAGCTACAAAACAAAAGAAAATTCAAATGCCAGAACTGAACCACTTATTTTAATTTTAACCAATAAAAACCAAATTTCACAAAAAAGGAATGCCCGGCATTTAATGCAAAAATATAGTAATAAATTCTTTTTTATTCCTCTTTTGTTTGAATTAAAAAAAAAAAAAAAAAAAACAATATTTGCTAATGTCCACAACAGTTTGCCACGTGGCACTAGCCTTCTTCGCTATATAAACCAATCAGCGCCCATCATCTCCTCTGTTTATACCCCTGCTAATAACACTTTCTAAAACATTCACCACCTCCCTCCGCCACTCCCTCCGCCGCCGCCGCCGCCACTAACAGAAAATGGGTTGCCTTGGTAATTTCAAGAACCTCACATTTACGATTATGGTTGTGCTTCTTGTTTTATGGTTTTCCGACATGGAAACATGCAATGCAAGAAAAACAGGAGGCAGACATTACAGACAAAGTAGCAGAAGCGTGGGGGTTTCCCTGTCCAAGAATACAGGGAGAAATCACCACCACAGCAACGGCGGCGGCAAGTCAAAACAGAAAGCTCCATCTCCAAAATCGCCGCCGCCCCCCGCCGCCGGACCTGTAGAAACTCCGCCGCCGACGAATATTCCGCCGCCTGACAAAAGCGAAGAGAATGCACCTGATCCCACTGTCTTTGATGTCCTCGATTTTGGTGCCCGAGGTGATGGAACCACAGATGACACTCAGGTAAATTTAAATTTAAATTTAAATAATAAATTATATAAATATAAATTATTATTAATTATCTTTAATTGTTTTCAAAGAATTAAATTATTCCATGAAAATTCTAAATTAGTTTTATAAGCATTTATTGCTAATTCCTTTTTGTTAGAACTTGTGACCTCTCCTTTCTTTTTATTACAACTTAAAAAAGTTTATATGGACACCTAAATTAAAGTAGCAGAAGTGCAACTTTAAATTAATTTCGAATTTCGTAATATAGCGAATGTGTCGTCGTAACATTGTTTCGTGGTCACATGAACCAACTACAAACGGGAAAAAAGTTCGATCAATATATCCATAAGTTTACGATTTTATGAATAAAGTTAGGTACTTGTGACGCATTTTCCATCTGTACATTCATTGCTTTAAATTCAAGAGAAATTATTTGTAACAAAATTTCAAATTGTTGCGATTTCTTTTTTAACAGGCATTCCGAGCTGCGTGGGCAGCTGCGTGCAAAATCGAAGCCTCGATCGTCAATGTACCGGCAGAATACGTATTCCTTGTCGGACCCATTTCGTTTTCTGGTCCTTACTGTCAATACAACATTGTTTTCCAGGTAAAAATATTTATTAATTATTACACGTGACAGGAAAATTAGTTCGAATCTCGCCTCGTCAGCATTGTATTCCTTACGTATTTTTTTTTTAATCTTTTTCCAGTTAGATGGTACAATTGTTGCCCCGACAAGCCCGAGCCAATGGGGCTCGGGGATTCTGCAATGGCTCGAATTCACAAAGCTAGTTGGCCTTACAATTAAGGGAAGTGGCACAATTGACGGAAACGGAGCCGCTTGGTGGCAAAGTTCGAATGACGATAACGACCCTCTCGATGACCAATCGAAACTCATTGTTCCGTTAAATGACACAACAGAACAAAACCCTCGAATTCACGTAATATAAAATTTGAACCTCCACATTTAATTAGCTTCATCATTTGTCTTTATATTTGTTCTAACTAAATAAAATACAATTATATGTCCTAATTTGCAGGAAGACAGCTGGCTTGGTTCGAAATTGCCAAGCATAAAACCAACTGTAAGGATCACAAACTTATTTCCTCTCTATTTTTTTTTTGAAATGTTTGTTTAGTTAATTAATTAAAAAGAACACACAAAAAACAGGCGCTTCGATTCTATGGAAGTTACAACGTGACGGTCACAGGCATCACAATACAAAACAGCCCACAATGCCACCTCAAATTCGACAACTGCGTCGGAGTTTCGGTTTACAATTTCACAGTCTCGTCGCCCGGTGACAGCCCCAACACCGACGGAATACATCTTCAGAACTCCAAAGACGTGCTTATTCGCAGTTCGGATCTTGCTTGTGGTAATAATTACTACCTCTTCTTTTTTTTTTTTTTTTTAATAAAATAGTTATTTAGCTAGTTTTAATAAATCGAATAATTCTCCGCCCCACGAGTTGGTTACGTTCCACAAAAAAATTATATATTCGGACAAAATTCATCTTATCCCACACTGGCAGATCGACACATTTCGACCAATCAACAGCTGAGCAAAAACCTCTGTTCTCCACGAGATTTTTGGCCCCAGTTTACATAGAAATGTCATTGTCTCTCCATGGTAAAAAAAAATTTAAAAAATAAAAAAATAAAATAAAAATAAATAGAACATGCCCTCCAGCCCCACAAAAAATAAATGAACTATATAGTATGTCTATTTTATATGTTTTCTAACAGCAAAATAAAAAAAATTGTGTTACAGGGGATGATTGTGTATCAATACAAACAGGATGTACAAACATATACATACACGACGTAAACTGCGGGCCCGGGCATGGAATCAGCATCGGAAGTCTAGGGAAAGACAACACCAAGGCTTGCGTATCGAACATTACCGTACGAGACGTTTTCATGCAAAACACCATGAATGGTGTTCGAATCAAAACATGGCAGGTAAATATATATTAATTCGTATACACTTCGGCAAATAAATAAATAAATTATAACGCGAATATAATACTATTTATTTTATTTTTTGTATAGGGGGGATTAGGGTCGGTGCAAGGGGTGCAATTTTCGAACATTCAAGTATCGGAAGTGCAAATCCCGATAGTTATCGATCAATACTATTGCGACAAGGGTAAATGCCGGAATCAGACATCCGCGGTTTCACTTTCGGGGATTAACTACGAAAACATACGGGGAACGTATACAGTGAAGCCGGTGCATTTCGCGTGCAGTGATAACATGCCGTGTACGGATGTGACACTTGCGAACATACAATTGGATCCACTAGAAGAAGGGTATCATATGTATGATCCTTTTTGTTGGCAGACTTTCGGCCAGCTGTATACTCCTACGGTTCCTCCGGTGCAGTGCCTGCAGATCGGAAAGCCGTCCCGGAACAAAATACAGGGAGACAATGATTCTTGCTAAAAGAAAAAAAAAATAAAAAAAATACATCTTACTATATTATAGGGGATTAGCATATATATTATTACAATATTGTTGTGGTGTATACCTTTTTTTTTTTTTTTTTAAATATTGGTGGTCGGCGTGATTAGCAGGCTGGCCCGGCCCGTTTTGCTTGCATATTATAGTTGGTATATTTTTATGGAACTTATTAAGAATTAAATTTGTGTAGAATTCAGCCTTTCAAGAAACAATGGGCTTTGGCAGTTCAAATGAAATAGATAAAAGTTCAATTCAATGAGCCCATACGAGTTTAGGCCCAAATCAACAGAATATAACTATTTGGGTAAATAACACTTAAACCCCTGTTATTTGACCTTTGTGCACATAACTCCCGTTTACTTTTAATATAAGCACATAACCCCCGCATTAGGTAAATGCTATTTACCCGAACTATTTTAAACTCGAGAAGAATTTTCTTCGCGATCAAGTTTCGATCAATTAAATCTTTAGAGGACGAATGAAAATTCAAAAGTCAAAACTTAGTCGAACGAAATTCAAGTGCTTGAATTTAAAAAAAAAAATACTAACAATCTAAAACTCATTTTAAATTTATTTTATTCTTCAATGAAACAACATCTAACCAACTCTCCTTAGAATCTCGCACCTTCCCTTACTTCCCTAATTTGTAATAAAATTTTAATTCTGAAAAAAAAAAAAAAAAAGCATCTTGACTGGGTTTGGGAGAATTAAATGACGTTATTAGCTTTAGAAAATAGAATATTTAAAAGAAAAAAAGAAGGTAATGTTCTATTCTTCTTCAATATTAGTGGTTTAAATGTATCATCACAATCACAAACCATTACTTTGAAAGTCATATTAATTATAAATGGCTTCAAAAGTCACACTATTTCATTCTTCTAGTATCTTTTTTATTTTTTAAATTTTATTTCTATTAAAGATCTGTGAAAAATAACAGTTTCACCAAAAAAAAAATATATTATATTTCATAAATAATAAATAAAACATACAATCATTTTTGACAAAATCCAAAATTATCTTACTTTGAGAGTTAAAAAAAAGCCCTTACAAAAAACCACAATCAGTTTCTAAAAGGCTTTCTTTGTCCCATGCTAAATTAAATTTTTTTTTTAATTAATATATACATAAATACATTTCCACTAATGACGAATTAGCAAGAATCCATGATCCAGTCTTACAGAATTGTACAGACAACTTAGGGAGTATAATTACAAATTTAATAATCGCAAAATCTAAAATGACGTGGCAGCATCTCCTTTACTGGTCAGCATAAACCAACGGCATCCAACGGTGTACAATTCCCCAAAACAGTGTCATTCCTTGAGTGGCAACGCCGTTATTTTGAAGAACCACCATGGGCAATATAAGCATTTCACTTAAAATAGCCGGTGAGCATTTTTTTTTACTATAAATAACCACTGGCTGACAAATCTCGATACTCCTCCCCAAAAAAAGAGCTGTTAATAATCTCTCGCGTTATTCTCAAGCGGCTCCATATTTCTCTCTGCGCACACTCTCTATCCACCTTTTCGCCAGATCTACCGTTCTCGGGTATGTTAATTTCTTAACACCGGTTAGATTCATTGGTTTCAGATCTGATTGTATGCAAATTCACTCTTCGATTTCTTTTTCTGATTGGTTTTTTTTTCTGATTTCGTTGATGTTTTGTTTTGTTTTGTTTTGGTTTGTTTGATTTGAGGTATCCGGTGAGTACATTTTTTAAATTTTTTTTGAATTTACCGAATTTTGGGTAATGTTTGATCTGATCTGGACGTTTTGGTAACGATCTGAGATGTGAAAGTTATAATAATTCTGGAAAATGTTTTGGATCGGAAGATTTTGAATTTAAGCAGTGTTTTTGAATATTAGTTTGGTCATATGATCCATATAGATCCATTTAATCCAGTGAAACTTCTTTCTAACTATTGAATTCCAGCAATTCTAGCTGTGATTTCAGAATCTTCTGTATGTTTGAATGTCAGATTATTGTTTCCCAGGCGTGGATCATGTTCATATGCGTATCGTATCAACTGATTTGAGCATTTCAGAATCAAATGTGACTGTTAATAAATGTGTTCCGTGCATTTACATATGTGTTGGTATATTTCGTGGTTCATTTTACAATAGCATGTTGTAGAAAGAGTTTTTCAATACATTGTATCTACATTGACCGAAAATTTGTTTGAAGGTAGGTGTCTTACTTTTCCAAATCGGGATATTATTGACGATATTTGTTTGGGAGATTGTTATGTATAACGTATGGATCATGCTCCTATATATATGGTATCAGTTGATTTGTGCATTTTGGATCAAGTTTGACTATTAGTAAACTTGTTCCATGCATTTTCGTGTGGATTTATCTTGTCGTGCATTGTACCGAAGCACGTGGACTGTAGAAAGAGTGATTCAATACATTGTATGTATGTATAAATTTATCCATGGACTGTAGAAAGAGTGATAAGAGTTCACTGCGTTATACATCTATTCTTCTTTCATCCTTCTTTGATAAATTACTTGTTGGCTTAAACTGATAGATATGATGGTCATGGTGTATGTACTTTGTTTAGCTTTACATTTTAGAACTCTTCTCTGTATATAATTATTTGAAATTGTTTCATGCAGGGATCTAAAGTACTAAATAGAAATGGGGCTGACATTCACAAAGCTTTTTAGCCGGCTATTCGCCAAGAAGGAAATGCGCATTCTGATGGTTGGTCTCGATGCGGCTGGTAAGACCACCATCCTCTACAAGCTCAAGCTTGGAGAAATCGTCACCACTATTCCTACCATCGGTACGTGCATTTGTTTCTGGAACTTCATATTCTGTGGAATACATCTGAAACTCGTACATTGAATTTAAGTTGAACCGCGTTGTGAATTCACAATTGTTTGTTTGTAGGTTTCAATGTGGAGACTGTCGAATACAAGAACATTAGCTTCACCGTTTGGGATGTCGGGGGTCAGGACAAGGTATGTGCTTCTTTTTTTTAGTTTTACTTAAGTAAAAAGGATTTTTCTGTTTAACCATTTTGGTGAGTTGAATATTGTAAGATGGTAGCAAGATTTCAGTTTTTGGAGAGACCCGTTTCATGCATGTGATTACCTATTAAGTTACCTTCCTTGTTCTTATGCAGATCCGTCCATTGTGGAGGCACTACTTCCAAAACACCCAGGGTCTCATATTCGTGGTGGATAGCAACGATAGGGATCGTGTTGTTGAGGCAAGGGATGAATTGCACAGGATGTTGAATGAGGTGATAACCCTTTGTTGTTAATTGATTTATATTACATTTTGGGATTGAATGTCATGCCATCACTCGGTACAAAAAAATTATCAGAAACTATGAATTTAATTAGATGGTTAGGCAAAATTAAGGGAAAGTTTGTAAATTGAAGGGGGTGTTAGATAAATGAGCTGTGTCTTCATAATTTCTCCATGATACTCCTTTGACAATAGTTAGCTATTGGCTCTATGTAATGTCTGTAGTAAAGTGAGTTGTTGGTTAAGAGTAATCAAACTACACTATACACTGCATCACATCTAATTGTGTCTGGAAAGTTTGTGCTTTCATTTTCGATTTTATGCACCATGGAAAATCATGAACTATCATTACCAGTGTGTATCCATGAACTATCATTACCAGTGTGTATCTAAACTCCTTTTTCTGATTTTATGCACCATCTCATTTTTTGCTGTAATTTGTTTTCTATAACGTGAATATGCAATGATTGAGTAATGTTTGCCCTCGTTATCTTGGGTTTAAGAGATTCTTCTGCTCACCATTTGTTTTATATTTTTGGCTGGTGGTCTTACAGGACGAGCTGAGAGATGCCGTTTTGCTCGTGTTTGCTAACAAACAAGATCTTCCCAATGCAATGAACGCTGCTGAAATTACTGACAAGCTTGGTCTGCACTCACTCAGGCAGCGTCACTGGTAAAGATTCTTAAATTTATTTATTTAGTTTGGTGTGAAAAATCAGTACTTCCACATGCTTGAATATTATGTTTAACCTCCTCAACATATTTGCTTCCAGGTACATCCAGAGCACCTGTGCTACCTCCGGTGAGGGGCTATACGAGGGGCTGGATTGGCTATCGAACAATATTGCTAACAAGGCAAGTTTACTTTAGTTAATAATTATATACATACAGGACGTGTCTTCAACTTCGACTTCATTGTCAAACGTATTTAACAAATTTCCCACTTGATTATTACAGGCGTAAGTTCTCGTGGAGTTGTTTCGAAGATTCTGGGTGCAGATTGGTTTTTATCTAGTTTTATATACTAGTCTGTGTGACTATGTTTTCTTTTTTTAATTTTTTGATGAAGTGTTTTTTTTTTTTTTTTTTTCTTTTTTTGTTTAGGACCTTTCAAATGGCTTTGTAAAACACACTGGTTTGTTTCATATATTTGCAAAACACTTTGCTAGTTTTTGTTTATGTAATGCCTATATATCCATTCATGTAACACTAGCTTCATTTTAATCTTGTTCCCGTTTTATCCCTTCTTTCGAAATTCTCTACCATTTGGCTGCGGGATTGCATTTGGCTGCATTTTATCGGCTTATTGCACTCGTTACCTGTGTTATGCTAGAAAACTACCTCATGGCATTTTATTGGCAAAATAAAATTAAATCATCCGAGGGTTACTGCCCATAAAATGACATGGGGTAGTTTTTTAGCAATTCGATATAACATGGTGCTTCTAATTGCAATAAACTCTATGTGTATACTTTGCACCAAAAGGCGAAATCTCTCGCCCCAATTTCTTGGCTCGACAAGTATTTGATAGAAGAATGTAAATCATGGTAACTCAACGGCCCGTTAAGGTAGTCGACCCGGATCTGGTGCCCACAAGAAACCAACTCTCATTGGAGTTGAAATTCCCACACTGCGACTGTTAGTATTCGATCCTAGGACCTTGCACCAACTTACCACCTCCGGAAAAGATGGTATGCTGTACGGCTCCTAATTACTATTACAAATTATAAGTATCCATATTAGTTGTATATGACTCTCTAGAGTCTAACTAGAAGATCCTAGACACGTGGACAACTTCTGAGGTTATGTGAAATTAATAACTTCTTTCATAATCAATTTTTATTTATTATTATTAATCATCATTTCAAGAAAACAATCTAAATTGATTTAACTATAAATACAAGAATCTTATAAATAGGCGGTCTAAAAAAGAAAAATAAAGCACTAAATAGGACCTAAAAAGTATATTCTGTTAGAGTGTGTATGTAGCAGGGATAGGAATTTGACAGGTTAAAATTGAAAAGCCAAAGGGGGGACCAATTTATAATTTTATATATATGAATCCCCAAAGTTAAGGTCCCTTTAGATGGGGATCGGATTCCAAAACCCCACTCCCCTTTTTTCCAATTCATGTAAAAACAACTCTTCAATTATTTTGTTTCTTTTTTGATATATTTGTCATTTCACTTGTTTTGATTGCAATATATCCATGCCCATCCAAACACGCCCTATACTTATCAACAAGGTAATAATTTACTCTCGTTTTGGTCCTACCTATGGTGTAAACGAGTTCAGTCCGCTGAATTTCACGAGTTTGAACTTCTTATAAATTAATTTTGAGATTACGATTTTTAATCGAGTAAACTGCAAATACGTCTACTACGTTTTATAATATAACACAATCAGATCATTTTTCACCTCTCGAATGTGAGTTTTTTTTTTATATACGAAAAACACTTTACGTAAGGGTATTTTTGTCTTTTATTTCATAGGAGATTTTTTTAACACATTCCGATTATAGTCTTATACAAGGATGTATTTGCACTTTACTCCTTTTAAATTGTTTAAAAGTTCTAGCTTTTGAGTTTTATTTATTTATTAGTTTCTTATAATTTTTTGATAAGTATATTAATAATATTGTTCAATTTTTTTAAACGTATATGTATTATATATGTTTCAATATAAGATATCAATATTTCTAAATTTAATAGATAACAAAATTGGTGTTTCAACGGCCTTAGATGTGTAGATAAGATTAGATAACTAATTGAAATTAATTTAAGATAATCTTTGAATGTTCTATGGTCTCCTCTCGTCAGTGATCAATCACTTCTTGTCTACACGTGTTATTACTATTCTTTGAAAAACTGGTTTGCATTTAATATTTTGGTTTTCTTTTTTTAAATGGAGGATGTTTACTGGTTCCCCAATTTTCCCTTAGTGCCTCGAAAATTTATTTGAAGATGGTAAGTACCTTTGAATGCTATTCCTTTGTTCCATAATATTTTGTCGTTTTGGAGTTTTTCTTTGTTCTATATTATCTGTCACTTTAAATTTTCAATACTTCATTAATTATTTAATTTCCAGTTTATATCTTTATTAACTATTTCCAATACTTTTTAAGTTTTTTTTTCAACTAATTTATCTCTCTTATTAATTATAAGTCAATTTTATTTTAGTCTAAAAGCACATATTTTCCTAAAACCAAGACACATATAATGAAATTCTTAATCTTCGTGAAAAGCTGAAAAACGACAATTAAAATGGAACATAGGAGGGAGTAAGAGCTATGAATTTTAAATTTATAATAATAATTTTTTTTTTACTTCATTCGAATAATTCCAAGTTTTATGAATTTTAAATAATTTTTTTCCCTTAAAAAGCTAATTACGAATCAATTATATTTATATATTATTGTTCTTTGAATTCTCTAAGTCTTCATCTCAAATTAAAAAATATTTTATAGTTGATATTCTACCTATCTTGGATTAAGTTATTAGTTTGCCTTTGCATACCAGTTGGGGAAAGATGAATATTCGAAAATTGCTTTTATATAAAAAAGTAGTATATTCCAGCTTTTGTAATATTTTGTTTTGTGCTATCATTCTTCCTTTTTGCCTCGACTAGTTAATTTCAGATATGTCAAATTTCAATATATATATATATATATATATATATATATATATATTAAACAAAATTTAAAAAAAAAAATAAAAAAAATAAATAATCAATTAAAAAAAAGTGAAGATATGTCTAACTTCAAGAAAGGTATTAGTGTATACATAAATGAGGAAAAAGCAAGATTGGGACAAAAAATGGTGGTGATGATGATAAAGATGATTTATAGTAACTTTAGCTGCTTATATAAGCAAATTTATTTTGTCGTTTTTTATCAATCATTCATTCTCCATTAATCTCATTTTCTTCCAAGATAATTACCCTAACTTTTAGATACTACATAATACATATAGCAAGCATACCTTAATAATTCGATGATACATAAAACGAGACCAATATATGATAAATATTCTAAAATTATTGATACATGTTAGTCCTCGTTCTTCAATTAGTACATATTAATTTATACATGCATGGCACCATTTTTTTCTAATAGATTTGACTTTTTGAGTCAACCATATTGGAGAATAAACAGTATCACAACTATATATTAAAATAAAATAATAATAAATAAATACATGCTAATACCTAATTCTAATTCCAAAAGCCTACGTCCTTCGACTATTCAATTTACTATTTTCATATTCTAAAGTAAATAAAATATTCCAGAAAGACAATGACACCCATTCCATTTCACCTGTCTTTACATGCTTTCTTTAATTTAATTGAAGAAATATCAAGGAAAATAACATAAATAAATAAATAAATAATTAAATAAATAAACGAAGGCCAGGAAAAATAAAGAAAAGTAAAGAACAATTATACTATAAAATGATGTCAATATCAAAATGAATATGACTTTTAATAATCAATTGAATCTGAGCCCTTCATTCTGGTGATAAGGCTCTAGATCAATGGTAAGTTGAAACAACAATTCATTCTCTCCACACATGCACAAGTCCTCCCATCACTTTTCACACATTCAATAAAATTAAAATTAAAATATTACAAATTTATTTTTAAAAAAACACCCAAAACAAAACAAAAAAAGAAAAAGCAAAAAAAAAAGAATATTTCTGTATATCTGAATTTCATTTGGAGTAAATTTACAATGCATTTGAGTCCTATTTAAACAGAACCAAGCCTTGCCATTCAAGCTCAGGAGAACAAACATAAGGCAAAGTAGAGTTGGCAGCTTATTACACAAGTGTAATAGCATTTGCCCGCCTCCTACTTTCCCAAAAAAAAAATAAAAAAAAATCCGACCAATAACATCTCGACAAATGGCACCAGTCGTACCGGCAGAAGTTTTCTCCAGCGCCGGGAAAATCCCAGCCAACGATTCGAAAAAGGGGTACGTAACATTCTTGGCTGGCTCGGGTGACTATTGGAAAGGAGTGGTGGGATTGGCCAAGGGTTTGAGGAAGGTGAAAAGTGCTTACCCTCTCGTGGTGGCTATCTTGCCGGATGTTCCGGAAGACCACCGCGAGATTCTCCGGTCACAGGGTTGCATTGTCAAGGAGATTGTCCCTATCTACCCACCGGACAACCAGATTCAGTTCGCCATGGCTTACTACGTCATCAACTACTCCAAGCTTCGCATATGGGACGTAAGTCTCTCTCTCTCTGTCTGAAAACACACACACACACACACAAACACACGTAAAAAGCGTATAAACTCGCAAATAATGTGTTATGCAATAATCTCATTCATGCAGAGGCTTTTCAAATACCATATATCTATGTAAAACACAGCACAACAAATAAGACACACACACACACACACACACACACACACACACACACACACACACACATACTAGCATCGAACTCTTAGGGTAAGCTCAAATAAGAACATACTTGTGCATGTTTATTGATGATTTTATTGCATGTATGATGATTTACAGTTTGAGGAGTACAGCAAGATGGTGTACCTCGATGCGGACATACAAGTTTACGAGAACATTGACCACCTACTCGACACACCAAACGGATACTTCTACGCAGTGATGGACTGCTTCTGCGAGAAAACATGGAGCCACTCTAAGCAGTACTCGATTGGCTACTGCCAGCAGTGCCCCAATAAGGTGACGTGGCCCGCTGGTATGGGGGCCCCACCTCCACTGTACTTCAACGCTGGGATGTTTGTCTACGAGCCTAACAAAACCACTTACGAGAACCTTCTAGAAACTCTCAAAATCACTACACCCACACCCTTTGCTGAGCAGGTAATCTCTACATCTGTCTTGCCTTTTCGAATAACTGAATGCTTTGAGATGCTTCAATTAAACAACCACCGTTTATTCCGAAAATTGAGATAACTATATAACCGATAAAGACACGTGCATGTCGTTTACTGAAATTTTCTTTGGAGGGTTTTGTCTATTAGCTAGCCTTGTTTTGATTTTGAATGTGGTGGTGGTGCAACTTGGAGCTACAGAACAAAAAATCAATTTGGACAATAGTAATCAAGATGATGATGATGTGAAAATTGTAAGGAAACTGACAAATACTGACAAGAACAACAATAATAATGAAACACGCAGATATTTTCGTCTCCGAACTAGTAGTATACGGTGCCAATTCAGTCAACACGATAACCATCACTATCACCAGAAAATAAATTAAAAACATGTATAGTATATACTTGGCCAATGCTATATTGTTTAAATTCTTACTTTTTTTAATCATGTGTAAAATGACAGGATTTCTTGAATATGTTCTTCGAGAAAACTTACAAACCGATTCCTCTGATCTACAACCTCGTTCTTGCTATGCTGTGGCGCCACCCCGAAAATGTCGAGCTTGAGAAAGTTCAAGTCGTTCACTACTGCGCTGCTGTAAGATTTATCCCACCTACACACACACACACACACACACACATGTATAGTATATGTATAATACAATCGAAATGACATGGTTAATATGAATAAAATACCAGGGATCGAAGCCATGGAGGTACACTGGAGAAGAAGCTAACATGGACAGAGAAGACATCAAAATGCTTGTGAAGAAATGGTGGGATGTTTACGACGATGCTTCACTCGATTTCAAGGCTGAAGATTCTGTTGCAGGCTCAAGGCCATCAATCATGGCTTCCATGCCTGAACCCGCAGTTTCATACATCCCTGCCCCTTCTGCTGCTTAAGCAGAAGAAAAACAAAACACTGAAGCCACGGAGTTCTTATGCGAATTCGGTGCAACTCGGTTTTTATCCTATTGACTACTTTCTTTTTCATTTTGATTTGGTAGGCTACTTGGCCTATGTTTTTGGTGTGTGACTGAACAATAATCGTAAGTTTGGGTTTTCGGTTTGATTTTCGCAGTATGTACTAAGCAGTAAAGGAATATGTAATTGTTTCTACTGCAGTTATTATAAAAATGGTTCTTATATTATTATATACATGCAGTGTCCCTGAGCAAGTAATTTTCACTTCATACAATCAATACAGCTACCAAGTTTCATTCTTCTACCAGATTATCAAACAATTCATGATTTTTTTCACCGGAAAAAATAAAATAAAAAAATGGAGAATTTCTACACTAACCTAAAAATTATGAGATTCTACAATCAAATCAACAAAATACAACTAGAATGCAATAAATTAGGGATTAATACAGAGAATCGTCGAAAAGTTTAAAGTAAATGAATCATGAACTGATCGAAGGAGAGTGAGATAGGTACCTGAGTAAAACTTCAAACGGCTCGTATCCCCAAATTCGACGATTGATGATCAGCCAACAATTGCCATTTTTACAGTGAATTTTTGGTTTTGGAGTTCAAATTGAAAGAAATGGCGAACAAAGGAGAAAACGGGAAAATAAAATGAAATTGAAACGAGGCCCAATTTGAAAGATCCAAACGTATGACCCAGAAAAGTCAAGCTGGGCCCAATTCTCTTGGGAAAATGAAATTATATAATTAAATAAAATTTTCAATTTTAAACAAAATTAGAATTATTTAATTCTAGGTTATAGATGATAGTAAATGCTCATTACAATTTACAACCGTGGCGGCGGCTACAACGGTTGTGCCGTGTAGGTAATAGCCTAATAGGTATGGTGGGATTGGTTAAGGAGGCGGCTATAGTGGGTGGCGGTTGTTGGGAATCACTGCATCCGACTCGTGGGCTTGATGAGGTGGCTCGAATTCAAACTCGAGTCTTTCGAGGCTTTCTTTAGTTGTTCATGAGTTCACGAGCCGGTTCGCGAACCTTATTATTTTTATTTTATATATTATTTTTTATTTAAATAACGTATAATAATATATAAAAACTATAGAAATAATATATATATATATATATTAAAATTTATTGTTTAACCTAAATGTATGATCAACCATTCAAATATATCCCTAAAATAAAATCATAAGTAAGCATGCTTCATGAATCGAAATAAATTAATCACAATTAACGAATATGATCAACCATTGAAATATTTCACAAAACACAATTCATATAATCATTTCATAAAATTTAATTTGTGAAAAGTTTCAAGTCCTACTTTTATAGTGTGATATTTATAAACAAATAAAAAATTGATAATTAAAGTAAATAAAAAAAATAAATAAAAGCAGTTAGAAAGTGGACTTGCGGTGGAATTTTGCACGATTTAGACATGTGTTAGCTGAAAAGTGTGAAAGAAAACGTGAAAAAGCAGTTATCAAAATATTTCTCCGCCTACACTACCGTTGTACCTTCCCCTTTGCCACTCCGCTAATCCCTACATACCAAATCCCTTTAATTAATTAAAATTAATATTATTATTATTGGCCCAAATGTGCAAGAATCTTTGACGATAATCTAGTAATCTTCGTCCGCTGCAGTAGGTGGATTTTGACTCAGCTGCCATTGTTGACAAATCAATCGTCTTTTTGTGTTATTTTATGTATATTTAAATAATATAATATATAATATAATGAATGACTCATTGGAGACTGGATAAGAGAAATTCAATTGACGACGGAAGAATTCAATTGAACGTTAGGGTTACGATTTGGGGAAATCGTGAGGTATGGAAAGGGATGGGATTCAAGCGGCGAAATTGGAGGGAGAAGATGAAGTTTCGCATCTTGCTCTTGATATCGGAGGTGAAATTTGCTTGTTGTTTTGATGTATTGTTTAGTGGGTAATTGTTTTGATTTACAGCTTAATTCAATTGCAGAACAGTTTTTTTTTTTTTTTTTTTTAAATGGTTGCAGAAATCGTAATTGATGTTGATCGTGTTTTTCTAATTATTGGTCTATTACAGTTTTTTTTAACTATGGGTACTGCAACAATTGAATTAAGCTGTAACTTAGTTTAAGAATCAATTGTTAAACTTTCTAGGGTTAGAAGAATTGAAATCCGGTTATGGTGGGTTAAGCTGAACTGAGAAGAGTTTGCAAAATTCGGTCGAACTCGAACCAGCTTAAGCATTTGAGGGCAATGTATATATTTCAAAAGCAACAAGTCGAATGAAATGCTCGTTTATTGAAAAAAAATTTGGATATTAGCCTATCGAATTTGGTTTGATGTTCTCCATTTATTATCTGTAGGTTCTCTAATAAAGATGGTGTACTTTTCAAGCAACAGTATTTGCTCAGGTGATGATCAGAAGAACGGCTTTTTGAAGGATGGAATTGATACGGTAAACTACACGGTCCTAAGTGGCAGACTTCACTTTCTGAAGTTTGAAACAACCAAGATCAGTGAATGCATGAAGTTTATATCTACTAAGCGCCTGCAAGAGTATGGTATGTGTTTCTTCGTGATCGACACATTAAACGAACATAAATCTGAAAGCAATTATTTATTCCATCTGTGCCAAATGGTTTAAATGCTAAATACCATTTTGTGTTGTTACCCAAAACCCGAAACCACATGCTTAGCTGAGAAAATATGCTCGATGTTCTCCTTATAGTAATTTTGGTAATATTGCATATTTATGCATTCTTAGAAGCTCTGTGAAATCCAGGTGATAAGGATGATGAGGCCTCTGCCAGTGACAAAAATATTATTAAGGTAACCTTTTTTCAATTAATGCCTAATCAGATGATTGGAGAAATTTTAGTTCTTTAATGTTTTGTTGTCTTTGATTCTGATAAATGTTTTAATATAATTCTCAGGTCCTTTGTTCAAATGTTTGATGAATTTCAGAACCAATCTTTTCTTTGATGAAGTTTTCTGCTTTCATAATTTGTAGTTTCCAAATTGTAACGAGGAATATGTTATTAGTGACGTTAGAACCAAATTGGCGGTCAACTGATCAATGTGAACACTATTTGAAGCCATACTTAACAATATTAGAATATTTGTCGATCACTATTTCAGAACCAATATTTTGGCTGGCTTAGAATAATAGTTCGAATGAAGACATAAACATTAGTCTCCATTGACAGTTCGAATGAAGACATAAACATTAGTCGCCATTGACAGAACCTGGAGGAAAATTTTCGTGTTCTGATTCATTAGATTGTGTGTGGAGAGTCTACACGAGGAAACCACTTCTGAATTATATTCGAGCATAAAATAGTTTTTGTCTTGAGATATAGAAATATCTGAAACATTAAACTAACCATTTAACTCAGGATCTTTTTGAAGGCCACAGGTGGTGGGGCATTTAAATTTGCTGATTTATTCAAAGAAAAGCTTGGCATTATTCTGGACAAGGTAGATGAAATGAGTTGCCTTGTCGCTGGAGCTAATTTTCTACTTAAGGTTGGCAATTTAATGGTTGAGATCACTTTGTAATGTAGTATGTTGTGAATTTTATGACTGAATTCTAACGGTATTCCATGCTTCAGCATAAGCCTTTCCTTCTGTTTGTCTTTGTCGGTTCTGAATCTTATTTTTGCTTTCTACTTTGATACTCTTGTTTAAGTAATGCTATTTCCAATCTTTATATAGGTATAATAATCAAATATTTTTATATATGCATTATATATTTGGTTAGGCGGTGCACCAAGAAGCTTTTACCTATTTGGATGGCCAGAAGGACTATGTCCAGATTGACCACAAAGACTTATATCCTTATCTCCTAGTTAATGTGGGATCTGGAGTTAGCATGATAAAGGTAATCCTTCTTTTCATATATTGACTTGTTGCAGATTGATTCGGTTTGAATTAAATACCATTTTTTTTCAAAGACTCGAGGGAAATGTAGGATTCACCGCAAAAATATTATGTAAATATTTCATCATTTCCGTTCCATGTGTACGAGAGTTTGTAGTTGTCCAAATTTCTTTGTGCATTTTCTTATAATTATCTTTACCCTTTTGATTGATTAGGTGGATGGTGACAACGAGTTTGAGCGAGTCAGTGGAACAAGTGTTGGTGGTGGTACATTCTGGGGTTTGGGAAAACTTTTAACCAAGTGCCAAAGGTCGTTCTCTTAGACCTTTCATTGTACTCTTATATACTACCCTTTTCCCATAATTCATCCTTTGAATTTTATTTTTCCAAAAGAATCGCCATGACAAAAACTCTCGAAATTCCTCTTTCAGTTTCGATGAGTTGTTAGAGTTGAGTCGACAGGGAAACAACAGAGTGATAGACATGCTTGTTGGAGACATATATGGTGGAATGGATTACTCAAAGGTATATTTTCAAGTTTCTCCTAATTCTCTTAAGGCTGTATCTTTACAATTTGCAAAGACTATCGAAGGCAAGTACTTATGTGAAGTAGACAAATGCGAAATCTGCGCTTGAGACTTGGTGTTTTTTTCGGTTTTACAATAAATTGATAAATTGAACTTCTTCTTTCACTGTTTGATAAGTTATTTGCACGAGGAATTAGGAACTACTAGAGTGGTTTTCACTGCAAATGACGTTAATCCTATAAAGACGGATGTTCTATTCGAATTGCTTAACAGATTTAAACCACCGTGGATATTGCATCACTTCATGTCTTAATGTGCTTACTTAATTACCTGATCACAAACTTTTGGTAATAAATTCAGATTGGTCTTACATCAACAGCAATTGCTTCTAGCTTCGGCAAGGCAGTATCTGAAAACAAAGAGCTTGAAGATTACAGAGCTGAGGATGTAGCCAGGTCCCTGTTAAGAATGATCTCCAATAATATTGGGCAGGTTAGTCAGTTAAAAAGAAAATGACAGTCTTACACAGTTATATTGCATGCTTAGGAACAAAGAAGATAGCTATGCTGCCTTCTTCCTAAGAAAGTACGTAAAATGAAAGATTAATCTCTGGCAAAGACCCATCCAAATTGAATTGCTTGATGCAGTATTTTTACATTTATTGGATATTTAAATAGCAGTGCCTGAAATATCATATTCCTACCCTTTGAAAATGACGAATAAATTACCTAATCATTTCAGTGTTTAAAATCAGAATTTATAGTTTACTCCACCCGACGAATGAAATGAATTTAAAAACCAAAAAGACCAAAGGTAATTTTATCAGAATATCCATTTCATACCTACATTGTCGGTTTTCAAGCTCCTGCTTAATATTGCATGCATAGTCGAAGCATTATATTCCTTAAACAGGACACTTTCTTTACCTGTTGTGCCTTAGAAATTTGAAAATAATATGGTGAAAAAATAAACTTATCATATTGGTATTTGATTTTTGTTCTGTTTTTGCTTCAATTCTGCTTCTTTCAGATCGCTTACTTGAATGCGCTGCGGTTTGGACTGAAACGGATATTTTTCGGAGGATTTTTCATTCGGGGTCATGCTTATACAATGGACACACTTTCTGTTGCAGTTAATTTCTGGTAGTTACCTGCTTTCCAAAATTTATAGTGGGCAACTTAACGCCGATGAAACTGCACCTTCCATTTACGCTGTATTCATATTTCCAAATAAACTCAAGAAAAAACATGAAATTCGTGTGCGTATATTTTCAGGTCAAAAGGTGAAGCAAAGGCTTTGTTTTTACGTCACGAAGGGTTTCTCGGGGCATTAGGAGCATTCATGAGCTACGAAAAGAAGGGATTTACAGATATTACCCATCAATTCATGGAGCAAAACTCGTCAGTACCAAAGAGTTCGTTTTGCAGCGAAGATGGGTCAGAAAGCTCGACTCGCGCTCATGTGAGAGATAATGAATGTATAGAATGTAGAGTGCAAGTCAGAAACTAAATCAAGTTTCTACAATAGTTACAAACCAGAAAGTATATCCTATTTAAGGTATTATTAAATCCTGCCTGGCAATTCAAAGTTGCTTATTTTTCAACTTGTCATAAAATCTTACAATTTCCATGCCCGAAACGGAGATTGTCGTTACACCTGTAATTTCAACGAGCGTAATTTTTGTAAATATGTAATTGCTTTGACGGTTAGATGAACAATTACTTTTTACCTAGACACTATCTTTGTATGTATCTGTGTGTGTGTTTTGAATTAATAATTTTATTTACATATTACTATATTTTATTTTCTTTTATTTTCCTGTGGAGTTTGTTTGTTGCTAAGAGACCAAAATTAATTGTTTGTCTAATTTCTTTTGTTTATAAATTATAACAGTTGCTGGGTGTTGTTGGTTGTTGGTTGGGATCTGGGTAGGGTGGGTATGGAACACCACGGGGGCAATTTTTTTTTTGGGGTTGTTTTTGGGGGGAGTTTTTAAAATGGGGTTGTTTTCGGAGGAGTAATTAATTTGGTGTTGGACGCCACCGGGAATGGCGGCATCAGCCGGAGACGCCACCGCCAGTGGCGGCACCGGCTGGAGGCGCCGCCACCGGTGGCGTCTTCAACTTTTTAAATTATTATTTTAATATTTTTTAATATTTTATTATTTAATATTTTATTATTTTTTTATATTTTTTAATATTTTAATATTTTCTGTTTTTTTTAATATTTTCTGTTTTTTTTAATATTTTCTGATTTTAAATTTTTTTTTACAAATAAAACAATTCTTACTACATTTTATTAAATTTATTACATTTTATCAATTAGATTTATTATATTTTTATCAATTAGTGTTAAATTAATCAGTGCATATATTTATCTAATCAACACAATAAAATATGTAGACAAAAACAAAAGGAGTTCTAGAAAATAAAAGAGTTATATAAAATAAATAGGTCAAATAAAAGAGTTATACAAAATAAATAGGTCCAAAATGAGAAAAAAGACAAAATGAGTACAAGAAAATAAAATTGGCACTATGAAGTCAGTGCCTATGTGAACCAGTGCCACATGCAGGTGCCCGTCTAGTCCTACGGGGCCTACCATCTCGACGAATGTCAGGATCTGCCGGTACATCATCAACTAACTGGGTGTCATCTGGTGGATATGGAACAGGGGAAACATTATACTGTGGTCGGATCCGCTCTTGGGGACTTGAGTATCCCAAATTGAGCTCCAAATGTGGACCCCATGAAGAGAACCGGGTATCAATAGCAGGAGGATGTGGGGTAGCTAGAGAATCGGACCATGGCATATGTGGAACGTAATCATTCGTAGATGGACCAACTAAATCTGTAAATATGGGTACCTGAGATGTAGACGCACCGAACATATCCATAAATCCCTGTGTAGTAGATAAATCGTCCATACCTCCGTGCACAGGAACATCTGCATAAAAGGGTGTATGGGAAGCAAATGGACCGGCGACATCTCCAGATGGAGGTACCCGAGATGTAGATGCATAATAGTTCCCCTCTCTCGTCTGTCTTACGTCATCCTCCAATTCAGTAGCTCTTTCGCTGGCGCTGGACCTTCTTCTGGTACGTCTATCTCGATGCGGAGAAGGTATAGGAGGTATGGCAGGTATCGGAGGTAAGCTGGACGAAGCACCATCTCTACGTAGAAGTTGAGTCCCAGCTGTATACTTGATCATCTTCCGTGTTGGAATGTCTGTTGGTTTGAAAACCCACTCAATTGCCGTACCCGGGTTCGTTCTATGAAGTGCCTTCATAAACTTGGGCAGTTTGTTCACTGAGGACTCCCAACTCCCGAACAAGTTATCTCTGCAACGCTTCAAACCATACCAAGCTTGCATCTTTGAAAGTTGAAATCCTAATTGAGACCTCACAATATTCTGTGCTTGTGATATTTTGCAAGCTGGATCATCTCGAACGGACTGAACCAATAAGGCAGCAATGTAGTTCCTGTCCAAGTTCTTGTGTTCATTCGACATTTCATCCATTATGCAGTTGTGGGGCCCACCATATCTCGTAATAAGGAAGAATCCTTTGCCCGATTTTTCAATTCCCCGTAACGACCATCTACAAGGCCTTTCAGGTGTGCTATGCTTGCACTTGACACTCCATTTATTAGGCTTACTTTCGACAACCGTGAATTCCCGTTTAGCAAATCGAATCGAATGGTCTCTCACCGCGGCGCAAAGGCGTTTTTTGTCCTCAAACACCATCCCAATCTCAAGAATACCCCGATCGCTATCGTAAAACTTATCATATCGGCCCCTTCCAACATCAACTGAATCTGCCGCCACTTCTGGAAACGTCATCGAGAAAAATGGGATTGACTCATACAACGTCGGTTGTTCCTCTGCTTCCGCCTCGTTGTGCTGCAACCACGTCTCCCGAACACCATCTTGTACGTCTTCATCTTCATTGTCGTCGTCTCCGTCATCGGATGGTTCGGAATTCACAGGACTGTTCGGCCCAAAGGAGTCACCTATAGGGTCTTCATCTTCGAAAATGCTCGGTCTCGCGGAACTCGACTCACCAACAAATCCCCCTAAATTACCATAGTTAATTGTATGGGAATCTCTGTGCACCTCTCTCGCTCCACTAGTCTCACAATAATTAGGGATGCTTTGTGTCGCCGCCAGAAAATCCGGAGTCACCTCCGGTTGTGAGAAATATGGTTCATTCAAATCAAATGCCTCTACGCTCACTTGTGGTGGGGCACTATCAATGTACTTCGGTTCAATCTCAACAAATACTTCGATTGCCTCATTCCCTTCGTCCGGATCAATATACATTTGTAAATCTTCATCTGTTGTCATCTCGGTAATCAGCTCCCTCATTCTTTCTCCATTATAAATGTAAGATTTGCAACACACTCTTAGCCCAAACTGATTAACATCGACATCTAGACGTTGATACAACTTTGACAGAAATTGTGCAAATGACAGGTCACGTTTAATTCGAAATGCTGTTTTGTGGGCAATACTATATTGCACTACCCAATCATCGGGAATTATGTGACCTCCAAAGTACACGTACACTTTGACATTAGTTTTAGCCGCCATCAATCTTCAAAAGATTAAGTAGATAATTAACTCATCAATCCAATCCAGATTAATTAATAATGAGGCATATTAATTAATCAATAATAATTTAACTAAGCACACCACTAAATTAATCAGTTAATTTAACTTAATTTCCCGATATTTTACAAAACAACACCATTTTAGCTACTGTTTTACAAAACAACACCAAAAACAAAAAAAATTGTCCATGCTTATAAAATATATATAGTACTAATACCTAATATAAAATAAATTAATTATTAATTAACTAACTAACTAACTACCCACATGCATCATAAAAATACTAATCACATGTATTTACAATAATTAATTAAAAAATTGGAACATAATAAAAAATTATAATAATAACTTTTTTTTTTAATTATTTACAATAATAATAAATATTACCTTGGTTCACCGGCGGAGCACCGGCGGAGCACCGGCGGCGGCGGAGACGACGGCGGGGAAGGCGACGGCGAGAAAGGCAGCGTCGGCGGGCAGCGGCGGCGGCCGGGCGGGGTCGGTGGTAATTATATTATATATTTTATTTGTAATTTGAAATATAAATTTGTTATTTTGTTTTTGAAAATTAAAGAAGAAGGAGGAAGCTGGAAGGAGGAGAGAAGAGAGCTGAGAGGAAGAAGAGAAAATGGGCAGGAGAGAGAAAGGAGACGCCGTTGTCGGTGGCGTCTCCTAAAGACGCCGTTGTCAACGGCGTCTCCTGGTCAAGCACGGCCTCCGAGGTTGCAGTCTTGATCTGGGCCGTCGGATTGAATTTTTCCAGTGTAATCTGGACCGTCCAATCTATTAAAATAATAAATTAATAAAATATTAAAATAATAAAATATTAAAATATATTAAAATATTAAAATATTAAAATATTAAAATATTAAATATTTAAAATTTAAAACCGGTAGAAGACGCCACCGGTGGCGGCGTCTCCAGCCGGTGCCGCCGTTGGCGGTGGCTGATGCCGCCGTTCCCGGTGGCGGCCAACCCCAATTTAATTACTACTCCCAAAACAGCCCCATTTTAAAAACTCCCCCCCAAAACAACCCCAAAAAAAAAATTGCCCCGGAGTTATGTACAAGCTTTCTTGATTCCAAATGTATTAACTCAATCCCATTTATGCAGTTTAATGTGAGAGAGACTAATTCTTTTTTTTTTTTTTGAAATAAAAAAAAATGGTGAAGAAAGTTGGGTATATCAGAGTAATTGTCAATGTAGAGAATGATTATCCAGTTGGCCAGAAAGATTTCTGAAAAATTCTCTGAGGGTTTATTTTCCCAATGACTTTAGTATCAGCCAAACAAACAACCAAAAGTTACTAATATTCTCTGTATGAAAGCAACAAATGAATGTTTTCTTTCTTTCTTGGGTGAAATCATTTTATTAAACAAGCAGCAAAATTCTTTCTTACACTTGAATGAAATAATGACCCCCTTAGCTGTCACATGCACCATTCTTTCTGGTAAAATTAAAAGACACTTTTCTGTGTACAAACTCAACTTTATTATGACTTATACACTTCTCTCATTGGGACTCTAATATTCTTCTAAATCTTTCAAAAATAAATCACTTTATTTCTTGAAAAATATATCACTTTTTATGTTTTATATTTTATTTTCATAACATAGTTTGCAAATTATACTAGAGATCGGGGTTCGTCAGAACGCCCGGAATGGAACAGGAACGGCCTTCTCCGTTTCAGATTCCCTAACAAAACCGTTCTATATCACTTTTTTTCTTGAAAAATATATCACTTTTTATGTTTTATATTTTATTTTCAGAACATAGTTTGCAAATTATACTAGAGATCGGGGTTCGTCAGAGCGCCCGGAATGTAACGGGAACGGCCCTCTCCCTTTCAGATTCTCTAACAAAACCGTTCTACGACAAAAAACGTTTCAAAGGGACAAAAAACGATCGGAACGCCAGGACAGTGCAATAAATCGGATGTTCACGGCTGTCACACATATCGGAACGGGCTGGAACATGATTAGAACGTCATGAATCATCTAATTTACTTCTTCAACGACGATTTAAAGATCTCAAACTAGGGTTTTAACTTTTAATCAAAAGTTAATTTTATTTTTTACAATTAACTCCAACACTTTAAATATAGTTTTATTTGGGACTAGGGAACAACATGTCAAGATTATGACTAGGTTTTCTAAAATTTCAAAATTTGCAATCTAATCCTAATTGTTTTTTATATCTCTTAAAGTAAAGAAATAATTTCATAACTTGCAATTTCACCCTTAATTCTACTTCTCAAGGTTTAAAGAAATGTTCCAAAATTAAAGTTTTAGTGATAGTTTATATATTATTATACGGTAGTATTAATATTAAAAATTAATTTGACATAAATTCCAATTTTTTGCATTTTAATTATAATTTATCCGTTCCAGCCGCAACGTTGCACGCGATGTTCCGGCGAACCATGTCAGAGATGTACTACTACTATTGCACTCTCAAATTATTTCAAAAATGGAGAAAAGAAAAATACAAAAAATGCACTATGCAATATCTCAGAAGCCAGCTTCAATTCTCTTTATTTTCTTCTTGATTCAGCCCCTAACACAAACACACACACACAGAGTACACACAGTGAGAGTGCCAAGTCATATTGAGAATCTTGACATCTCACATCACACACAGTAAAAATGTAAAATCTATAAGAAAACGACAAAAAAAATAAAATAAAAAAAAATAGAATAATGACAAGAAAAGAAGATGGCTCCCTTTCCTCAACCTTTCATATATAATGCGCATTGCCCCCCCACCACCCCCAATTCTCTCTTACATTTTTTCTTTATTACAGAAGCCCCTTTTAACACTTCTTTCATCAGAAATGGGAGCCGTTGTAATAAAGCTAATTGCTTTAGCTTTAACTACACACATTTGCTTTTCCATCACTTCTTCTTCTTCTTCTTTATATTCTGTGTCAGCATCAGTATCAGCATCAGATGATAGAATAACCGAGTTACCTGGTCAACCCCGAGTCAGCTTCCAACAATTCTCTGGTTACGTATTCGTCGACCATAATAATGAAAGAGCTCTCTTTTACTATTTCGTTGAAGCCGAAACCGACCCTGCTTCAAAGCCTCTTGTTCTCTGGTTAAATGGAGGTTTTTTTTTTTTTTTTTTTTTTTTTTATTATTATTTCTTACAGTAACTAAAAACCCACATTGTTTGATTTATTTCGTTCCAAATTTTTGTAATAAAAAAAATAAAAAATATTAATAATTGTTTATTATTATTACATTTTGCAGGGCCTGGTTGTTCTTCTTTGGGCGTCGGTGCATTTTCTGAGAACGGTCCTTTTAGACCCAGTGGGAATGCTCTTGTCACAAATGAATTTAGCTGGAACAAAGGTATTATTAATTCATTCTTTTTCCACACATTTTTTTTATTTGATTTAATAATTATAATTTGGTGATTAATTAATGTTTTTATTTTGTTTTGTTTGTATGATTGAATTTTGCAGAAGCAAATGTTTTGTACTTAGAGTCACCAATTGGAGTTGGGTTTTCTTATTCTGCAAACTCTTCCTCTTATGATGGTGTTAATGACAAGATCACAGGCATATATTTTTTCTATTTTTTTTTATTTATTTATTTGGGCAAATTACGGTCATCCTCTGTATGACCAAATTACGAAAATTTCCTTTTGTTTGAGTAACTACAGTCATCCCCCTCCTTTTAAATATTCAGTTCGGTAAACAGTATGAAATGTTGGCATAGAGAAATTTCTGTTCGGTTTTACCGATTTAACATCCCAAAATTTATCTCTGGAGAGGTATTTTCGCAAGATAATAATACATATTTGAGGGGTTGGTTGTAATTACCCAAACATGAGGGGGATTTTCGTAATTTGACCATAATTCAGGTGTTGCCGGAATTTGCCATATTTATTTATTAATTAATTATTATTATTATTATTTCAAAATGCTCAAATGCTGTTATAAATAATATGAATGTTTTTTTGTTGTGTTTTATAATAATAATAAAAATAGCTGAAGACAACTTGGTATTCTTGCAAAACTGGTTCCTCAAATTCCCACAGTACAAAGACAGAAGCTTATTTATTACAGGAGAGAGCTATGCCGGTATATTACATTTACATCCCAAAATAAATAAATAAATAAATAATTAATAAAAATCCAATATTTGTCAATTTTTTAGACAGAGTTTAATTTATCTATTAATTATATATTGTCAGGGCACTACATTCCTCAGCTGACTGAGCTGATTCTTCAATTCAACAAGAAAGAAAAAATCTTCAACTTGAAAGGAATTGCAGTGAGTTCTTTAATCAACAAAATTAGATACACTAATTTAATTTAAATTATGTCATTATATATAATAATAATAATAATAATAATAATAATAATAATAATAATAATAATAATAATAACAATAATAATAATAATAATAATAATAATAATAATAATAATTAATAATAATAATGTTGGTATTGCAGCTCGGAAATCCGGTACTAGAATTTGCGACCGATTTCAATTCAAGGGCCGAGTTTTTATGGTCACACGGGCTAATATCGGATACAACGTTCAAAGTGTTCACTTCTGCATGCAATTATTCGAGATACGTTAGTGAGTATTACAGAGCTTCTTTATCTCCGATTTGTTCGAAAGTGATGTCACTTGTTACTATCGAAACGAGTAAATTTGTCGATAAATACGACGTCACGCTCGATGTTTGTATCTCATCTGTTCTCTCTCAATCCAAAGCCCTTGTCCCTCAGGTATTATTGTATGTCGAATTTAATTCGCCTTTTCTTATTTTGTGCCGATTTAGTACAAGTATATATGTTGAATAATGCTATTTGATGTTTGCAGCAAATGACTGATAAGGTGGATGTATGTGTGGAGGACGAAACGGTAAATTACTTGAATAGACGAGACGTTCAAAGGGCTCTCCATGCGCGTCTTTTAGGGGTCAACCGATGGCTCGTTTGTAGCAAGTGAGATTTTTCTCGTCGCATTTTAAAGAATTTATTACATTTTAATTTCGAACACCTTTTGTAATAAATAATCTTGTTTTTTTTTTCTTCAGTATATTGGATTACGAACTGCTCGATTTAGAGATACCTACGATTAATATTGTCGGTAGGATAGTCGAGGCAGGAATCCCAGTCTTGGTTTACAGGTGGAAGTTTCTTTTAATAATCTACACTTTCTTGATTTCTTTTTCAACATTTATTTATTCATTTATTATACATTACTAATTTTTTTTTATATAACAGTGGCGATCAAGATTCGGTGATACCTTTAACCGGAAGCCGGAAATTGGTTCATAGACTGGCACGCGAGTTACGATTGAGGACAAGTACACCGTATCGGGTGTGGTTTGCTGGGATGCAGGTATATTCTGTTTTTTTTTTAAATTACGAAAAATAGCTGGAAAAAGAAAAAAAAAAATCGTTGAAGGAAAATAAATAATTTAATTGTAAAATTAATTATTATTATATTATTATTTTTTTCAGGTAGGAGGGTGGACACAGGTATATGGTAATAATAAGCTGTCATTTGCAACCATAAGAGGGGCATCTCATGAAGCACCATTTTCGCAGCCAGAAAGATCACTTGTTCTATTTAGGGCATTTTTGCAAGGCAAACCTCTACCTCAAGATTTCTAATTCGTACATTTTTCGATATTTAATTGTAATTAAGTAAAAATGTTCGACATCTCTCGATGTAGAACAACCACATTCGTTCGTTTTTTTTTCCCCGTTTGACTCGGCTTGTAATCTAAAATTTCTGTAAGAATGATCTGGTAAAGTTGAACGTCACGAATTGAACGAATTGAATGAATTTCAAATGCTCGACTTTTTGGGTTTACATTATTATCCAAAGGCACAAAGTAAAAGCATCGACACAAAAAAACACTTATTTTTTAAGAAATAATCGGAGCATAAGGAAAGAAGACTGAATTAATGCTATTTTACCAAATGTTGATAACGAAAGATACAAATTAACGAGCCACATCATTCGTGTTTAAACGAGGCCAGTATTCTCTATTGAGAAACCACAGTGGGAGCTTCGACTTTCATTTCAAGGCAATTGAACTCCAAAGCTAAAATCGGCTTCGATAGCATAACTGATATACAGAGGTTCCGTTTGTAGTCTGTGGAATCTACATTTGCTGATTCCAATTCAGAAGTTGATTCAACTTCGATATTTGATGTAGATGGGCCCCACACTTTAGCCGCTTTCACTGCCCTCAACCTTCGATGAATCAACAAAAATACAGGCATTCAATCAAACAGAGTTAATTGTTTATGCGTTAAGCACTAGTGGAATTTCGAATATGCAAATGTTAAATTTTAACGAACCAATAATATAGACCATGATCAAATTGATTAAATCATGGTACAAATAATAAAAATAGGAAAATAAACCTGCATTCGATCTGGCAAGAGTACTTCAGGAGGTGAGGGTTATATTCAGTGCGCCCACTGCATATCGGAGACGCAAATACCGTTAATTCTGATTAAAAATAAAAATAAAAAAATAAGGAAAAAAATGTAAAATACCTAAAGCTTGGGAGGGACATTTTGATTGCAGGGCCGATCCATCTTTTTACGTCATTTTGAGGTGCTGCCATTGCTTTGTTGAGGTTAAATTAAACATACGTATCATGCAAAACAAACACAAAGACGAGACAAGAAAACAACAACATAGAGCTAGCTGATCATATATATATATATATATATATATATATATATATATATATATATATATATATATATATATATATATATATATATATATATATATATATATATATATATATATATATATATATATATATATATATATATATATATATATATATATATATATATATATATATATATATATATATATATATATGGAATATTATCATTTTTGTACCCGTTGTATCCCATTCAAACTCTACATTATGAAGCAAGATGATCATAACATGTGAGTTTTAGCTTGTATATATCAGTTTGTGGTGTATCGGAAACTGTATTTTTACGCAAAACGAGTACAAACTAGAGCACATTCCACGGAATCTAGATGATTATGTTGAATTTGGCACCATAAGGGTGGAGGTGTAAGAAAAAATCATAGTTGAGGGGGTAGATGTAATTATCCAAACAAGAGGGGGGTTTTTGTAATTCGACCATACCTCAGGGGGGTGTTTGTAATTTACCCTATATATATATATATATATATATATATATTGTAGCCTACCTACCAGCATGAGGAAGGTTGATAGTGCAAATGCCAGTTGCCGTAAGATTGTTCATCTCATTTACTTGTATATTCGTACAATTCTTCATGCTATTATTATTATTATCAGCCAAGCCAATCTTGTTCATAAACCCAGCGAATCGACTTCTCTTTGTCGCAGGAAGTGCTGTAACACTCTAGTTTAACGCAAACCAAACCGTATCATGTTCGACCAAAAAAAAAATAAAATTCTTATTAGATATTCTACAGCACAAAATTGAACTAAATTTATAGATAACAATCCACCCCACACTGCCAATAGTGACAGGAAAAAAAAAACGGGGAATTAACATTTGATTACTTTGCATTTGGAGGGAATATATAAAATTTGAGGGCTCACCTTCGTAAAATTTGCAACTTGACTCGGAAGTCCAACATCCTGCAAAACCACATTAAATTTTTATTTATAGATTCTTGAAGTTAATTCAACTAGGACATAAATCGAAACCCGAAATCCTAAGCACAAACTCAATTACAAATGACGGCATATATAATAAATACTCAATCGTGTGTATTAAAAACGCTACCTTTCGACCATGGACGCATGCCTTGTCACTGCTCACCAGAACTCTTGCAGCCCATCTGTGGGATAATGATATTATTACCAGAAAACTATTACGTCAGTCTACATACTTTTAAAATCTACTTCATCAGTGCATCGTATCCGAGTACCAAAAATCGAGCAACGAGATTGCATCAAACGACGCCAATTTGATCTAGCTGTTTATCTGAGCACATACTAATCAAACAGAGTACGATTCTGTATACTCTTTGCGATCATGCCCAAGTAGTAAATAGTTACGGCGGAAAGAAAAACTTACGCACACGATGTAGGTGGATTCCATACGATTCCTGCTATGACGACAAGCTGAAAAAAGCACGATTACGAAAAATAAAGTTAATGCTAGTTGACCCTATATTTAATTCATTACGGTATATGCTTCTTCCTATTTCCTAAACAAAAATGCAAATCCCAAGAACTGACGAATAAATCATTTATATATTATATTAGTTAGTTGAGATTTATCGATTCGAAGATTTTAGTCAGAAATAAATAACAACCTCATCAAATTTGCCAGCAGGACTGTCCTCGTAATTAGCAAGAAAGAATCCACCGAGTGTATATCTGTAGGTCCAACTTGTATTAAATAAAGATAATGAATATCGAAAAGTATTTATTTAAAGATACAAGTTGTTAATAGTTTACCCAAAAGCCTCCACCAATTTGAATTCTTTCGGAATAAAAGCTCGAGCTGTCTCTGCCTTGACAAGATGCAGCTGGTACAAGGCACTGAAATTTCAAGAACGTACTTTTTTTTTTTAAACTAAATAATTTCCTTACGTGAACAGAGAGTTGCAATGAAATAAAAAATAAGCAAATGTATTATTCGAAAACGAGATAGCAAACTTGCCTGCCTTTGAACACCCATGGAGATTTTCCGTATCCTAATGAAGAGTTCACTTCTGCAGTTTCCATTGTTTGACGAAAACACCAGAAACAACTTATGCTAAAATCAAACTATACGAGCTTCATCGCCCTAGTTAACACCTGGAAAAAAAAAACCCGAACATTATCGACTAAGAAACTAAACCATTCTAGGATTGAACTGCAAAAACCTAATTTTATTTCTTTGTGCAGTATAGTTTGATTATTTTTGTGAATCCCAAGATTTTAAGTCTTGAAAAAGAGATTAAGGAATCCATGCACATGGCACTATCGGATTCTTAAGGCATAAAGAAACTCCATGCAATTAGAGCAAGTTGGATTTGAATAATCATAACTTTATAATATATCAAAAAGATAAAAGCATTTATTTATTTAAAAAAAAAAAAAAAACTCTCATAACCAGAACACAGTTTGCCGAGTCCATATACAAGTTGCCAAGTTGAAATAGAATTTTGTATTAATCATTAAAATACAGCATTCGAACTGCATCACTGGCTGACGTTTTCCGTAGAACGCTGCCAACTGATCATAAGACGAGTAAAAAGAATATTATTGTTAGCATAATATAAACACCAAAGACGAAGGAATCTTGCGCTACTAAAGCCTTTTGCACATTATATTAAAATCTTCGTAGGCGTCTCTAAATAAACGGGAAAATACTTCACATTAACATAAGATATCGCATTAATCACTCACTAATCACTATAGCAATCGTGTTCAAGTGAAAATAAACCCCCTTCGCCCCCAATCCCGACAAACCAACCGAGGTTGAGAATATTATCTAACGAACTGAATACACCATTACGAACAGTCTTTTTTACCATATGAATTGGATTTAAATGTAAATAAAAAAATTAAGAATTTCTTATACAAATAACTATATTTCTCCATATTGATGGAAACAAAAAAAAAAAAAAAAAAAAAAACATGAAAATAAGAGGGTAAACTCACTCAGCTGTAACCATTAGTTCCGTAATTCGATCTGCCGTCGAAACGGGAGGCCGCCTTTTTCGTATGTTAATTATTTTCAGCACCCAACCGATTGAAACACTAAAACATTGAAATAGCTTTGCTTTCTTTTCAGCACAATTTTTTTTTTTTTTTTTTTTAATTATAATAACTGGAATCTGAAGCTCCATTATTTAATTTCTTGAAATAACTAGAATACTTTTTTACAAGGAATGCCGCGTTATATTCATAAAGAAATGAACACTTGACATATCTTTATTCAACTTGAATCATCTCACTGGAGCATCAAAATTTTGAATATATAATTAATAAAATAACAAATATCGAGCACTAGGGGATGAAACCATATTTAAAAAAAATAAAAATTAAAAACAATTAAAAAATATTCAAGGATGAAATTGCAATTGCGAGCCTAAAATCGAACCTTTTTTTGGTGGAGATCCAAACCCAGAGAGAATTTGTGGTGTAAATGTAAATTCAGTGAGTAAGAATTAGAAACAAAGAGTGCATGACGTCATCCTGCGTCACAAGAACTGGATAAACTAAAAACTGAAGAAAATAAAAATTAAGAGTTGTATACATTTTGCACCCCTTAAGTATAGCCCCTATGTAACATAGACCCCTTAAAGTTCTATTTGTAACACTTGCCCCCTCAACGTCAATTATTATGTATTTTAAATTTTAAAAAATAATAACAATCTTAATATATTTCCACTTTCATTGAATAGAATAATTGAAAAAGAATTGCCCGCATGGATATAGCTCAACTGGTTCCGGGGTGGTAAGTTGGTGCAAAGGTCCTACATACGGGTGAAAGTCGGATGAATCGGATCGGAATTAGCCTTTTCGGAAAATTTCCAAAAAATTTCGGAAGTACAAAATCAATTCAAACTCCTATTCCAAAATTTTCGGAATCTAAAAATTCATTCCAATTCCAAAAGTCCCAGAATTTTCGGAATTTCGGAAAAAAATCGGAAATCACATGAGCTTAACAATTTCAAAACTTAGGGGAATTTTTTTAAAATGTTCATAATTTTCCAAAAATAAGAACATCCACGTCGATAAAAGTAAAACTAATAACTACTAAATTTCAGTTCAAAAAATAAATAAACATAAACACAACATAATATCTAATAAAACTTCTAACAACAATTCATTATGTCAAAATCTTAAAACAAAACTTAAAGGTGTATTTTTCGGAAAGATAAGTATTGTATAATATTTATTATTTATAGGTGTATTTTTCGGAAAAACATCGGAATTTTTCGGAATTAATTTCGGAATAAAATCGGATTGGAAATCGGAAATTCCAAATTTATTTTATATAATTCCAATTCCAATCCAAAAAAATCGGAAAAATTTGGAAATCGGAATTTCGGAAGTCGGAATGAAAAAAGTTGTTCCAAAATCGGAACTTTTCGGATCGGAACCAGCGGAAATTGGAATTTCCGTTCCAACTTGCACCCCTAGTCCTACATGAATTTACATCCATCCATCAAATATTTGTCGGGCACCAGGTCTGAGTCTGCTATCCTAACGGGCCGTTGAGTCACCATGAATTTAGTGTGTACGTTAAAAGGGTTTTAAGTCTATTTAATCTTCTTGTAACTCATGACCTTATAGTCACCTTCTTTGTACTATATATAGATTATGCAATGTGCTTTGGATACACTTGAAGATATTGAATAATATATTCTCACTTCGCCCTATTTTATTTTGTTCTTGTATATTCTTTCATGTTTTTATAATACGTTATCACCACGATTGTTTTATTTTTATTTTCAAGCAGAGATTATCCAAAAAGGCTAACGTCTCCGCCATAGACGATGAAAAGGGAGTTTACGTTATATTTCTTACTATTGTTTTCAGTTGACAAGATAACATTTTTATATATGTTGTCGGTGAATTTTCCTGCAATTCAGAAGTTCTTACAAAAGTTGTAGCTCTGGAAGTTGGCTTTCTATGTCTACTTGAATTAGCTCAATCGGATATCGGATTTATGCTTGAAATACTAAACACTGTTACAATATGCTAGAATGCACTTTTGCACATATTTGGTTTGATTCACAACTTCACTCCCAAAATCCTTTCAAATTGACAAAAATAACTTCTTTACCTAAAATTGAAATAAAATAAGAAAAGCAAAATATATACAAGTAAAATCGAAATCTCGGACGAACGAAGACCAAAACTCAAAGATTCAATAAGTAAAAATTGCCAAAGACGAACACTTATTAATAATGTAATATTTGCTGTTCGACCCACAAGTTATTGGAAATATCAAATATGAAACAAAGTCCAATTATTTAATTAATCATAACTAATCTTCTTAACCAAACAAGACACTTGAGAATAACATAATATATACTTGGTGTCTTTCTTGTTTTTTTTTAAATTTGTTTTTTTAATTTTTATTAAATGGGACCGCAAGATACACAATTTCTTATCTTTGTATTTATTATTGAGATTTGAAATCAGGTCAGTTTCTTGGAGAAAATGAATGATTCTACAACAAACATAGGCTGCTTTTGCTCCATCTCCATTATTAAATTACAATTAATTAATACACAACATATGATTTCAATTTTTTTTTATTTTTTATTTTTTAAATTGAAACTAATAATCATGGTGTAATACAAATACTCACATGTGATCTCCTAAATTATAGGTGCCACGCTGTCAGAGGAAGCTTCCAATTCTACTTAAAGATCAGAATCAAAATCAAATCATGCAAAGGATAATCAAATATCTTAATCAACTATCTTTACTTAAACTAGTTAATTTGGATAAACGTGTCAGCTTATGATCCCACTGCTTTTGCCAAAAACCAAACTACTTTAACCGAATTAATTGATTAAAAAGTTGGTGGAGAATGCATTATCACTTTATCGGTGATGGAACGATGCAATCTTGTGTATTGGGGCGACTATTACAAATACCGTTTTTTTCTCGGTTGATCGTGGGAAAATTAAAATATATTATTTTTCGCATAATATAAACAACAAACATGAAGGAATAACCGTTAGTTCTGTAAGTGGTTAAAAAAAGGGAAAATTAGCAAGATCCTCCATTTAAGAATTGTGGTTAAAAAAACCCATCTAAAAAATAATTAGAGAAAACTCCTTTAGCTAATATTTCATCCAAATACTATTTTCATAATTCCAAATCTATCATTAATTGTCTAATGTACTCTTTCAAAACTCTAATTTCAATTTTCATTTATCCCACTCCTTTCTCGTTTCTTTCTTCTATTTTCTCTGGGTTTTTTATTCTCTCTCTTTTCTCCAGATATTGCAGCTCCTCACTCTCGTGGGAGACGCACGACGACGGCAGAGATGAGGAAGAGGATGACGGTGGTGGTGGTGGAGTCCGCTTTCGTATACTCGAATGTATTCTGTGGCGGCTCTCCCATCTGATTAATAGATACTATTCGGATCAATTTATGTATATATCTGTCTGTAAATTAATGGGAACATATTAAGTTTTTATGTTAGTTTTGGATGGAATCTAGTTGTGTTGAGCGGCGGCATTGGACGGAGGTGGGTGCAAAAACCCCTCAGTCACCGTGTAGGTTGTGGTGGGTGCTTTTTTTTGAAAACGAAGAAGGGCCAATCAATTTTCTTTTTCTGTTCTTTTATTTGTTTTTCAGGTTTTTTGTTTGAATGGTGTGTGAGATGTGGCGACGGTGTGGTGAAATGGAGAGCGGATCTAGGGTTTTTTTGGTAGATTGGACAGAGGACGGCGCGGGTAGAGAAATTCGCGCATGATGGACCCCTTAATCGACTACGTTTTTAGCTAATCGATTAAATTAATTGACTAGGCTCTGATAGTCGATTAAAGTGTTAATCTAGTATTTTAGTAATCGATTAAGGTTACTCGATTTCATTGTTTAATTCACTTTTGGATTTTTTGTGTATTGAATCCGATTTATATAAATCAATTACTATTTATATGTTATTTGTTTTGTAAAAAAAATGTTGATTTTTGTTTTTATGTAGTTGTATTGTTTTAGTACTCAGTTCCTTAATCGACTATGCTTCATCATAGTCGATTAATATGTTTCATACTTGATTAATATACCGATGGAGAAAAAAACGTTAAAAAGCGTAAAAAAAGATAATAATAAATAAAAAACGGCTGATGGGCGGTGATAGTGCTGATGAGGTGGCAAGGGCATAATTAAAAAAAATGGATGGCTGAAGTTAGAAGTAAGTTTTACTCAAATGGTGCAAAATAGCTTAGGCCTCTTCCTATTAAAAGAAGTATAAACCCCAATATTTTTTTCTTAAGTATTGGGGTTTATATCAAAAAACCCCTAAAAAGAATTGATTGAGAAAATAGAGATTGCAACTGAGAGCCAAAAAAAGGAATTTTTTTTTATGGAAATCTAAATCCAGAAAAAATTTGTTCCAACTCTAATGTAAATCCAGTGTTAAGTTTGTGAGCTAAATTGTGATTCTTAAGTGAATTGGGCCCAAACAGATTATTCTCCTGAGTAGCCCCGTAGTGGAGTCGGCCTAACTTGTGGTCAAATGTCTTGACCCGGTCTGTGTTTAGGTGGTACTTGGTAGTTTGATTTTGACCGTCTATTTGTTTGAGACAATCATGACCGTTCATTCTCATCCACTTACATAGTAAAAATCTACTAAGAGCCCTAATTTCTTCTTGACTCCGCCTCTCTCTCTCTCTCTCTCTCTCTCTCTCTCTCTCTCTCTCTCTCTCTCTATATATATATATATATATATATATATATATATATATATATATATATATATATATATGATGCACTTCTCCTTATTTTTTTCATGTCGCTTTCCGGCGACCTCTTTGGCAGGCCTCGTCGTACATGGAGAACATTTATGTGTAGGCAACTTTCACTACAAAAAAACACACTTTACGCGAGGAAAAAGTTCGTTACAAGAAGTGATCTTTTTGTTACGAAAACGTTTTGTGACGAAGCTTTTGTCACCTTTTGCTTGTCCTCTAAAGCCCGGCACTAAAAGTTAAGGTAATGAATTTTATCTTGTCGTTACTAATGTATTGGTAACTAAGGTATTTTCGTTACAATATATTCACCTACCGTAACAAAATTATCCCCACTAAAACATTCTAGAGTCGTTACAAAAACAATGTTTGTTACCAATAGTTAATTTTATAATATTATTTAATATTTAGTTGTAGAATAATATTTGTTACAAATACTTAATACGACAAAGTATTTTCCTCACTAATACTTGTAATTAATATTTTTTTATAATTTTTATACAACAATTATTTTTGAATATTTTCATTTTAATATAGATACCGCTAGAATAGCTTGTGACTATAGCGCACAATATAAAAGAAATAAAAAAATATAAAACATACTAAAGAGCAAAAAATTACTTAATTTTATTTCATAACC